AACCTTCAGGATATAAGGCCATATTCAGGTCAGTATGGTTCTACTTTTACATAGTCCAAGGTATGAAAACTGGAGTAGCTGAGTAGATGGGAAGCTCTAGCGCTTAACTCATCAGTTGGTCCTGACATCTTAATCTGACCCATCTTCCATAAGAGGGAAGTCAAAGAAAGCACTAGGCTTGAATGTAGGCTTCTCATAGCAAAGCCTCCAATGAAGGGAAGTACCCTATTTTTCTACTTTAATTAAACTATTTCAAAGTAATGTGAAGCTTAGATCACTTCTAATTATAAATATTCAGGGTTGGCCAGAGAGTTCAGCGGATTAAAGTGCCTTGCTTACGCAGATGCAGCAGTGAGGGTTTGATCTCTTGCATGCTGTGCTGGCCCCACCCCCAGGGCATGCTGACTGAGACTGGGTGGGGTGGTGTGCCCCTGTACTCCCAGCTCTTGGGAGGCTGAAAACAGGAGGATCACTAAAGAGTCTGATCTGTATAGTGAGACCTTGTAGACCTTGTACTAAATACATTAAAAAAAGAAGTTTATAAATATTATTTAGCCCACCCACATTCTTTTTGACAACTTTCTCAGACCCTCCTGGTCTGGCCCCAGAGCCTGCTTCTGGGATCCTCTCTAGCACTGAGATGGTGACACTGTATTGCAATGATTGCATCTCTCCTCCATCTTCCTCTAGAAAGTTGGCACACTGAAGGCTATTGTTACGTACTCATGATGGATTCTTACCTCAACAAACAGTAAGTGAATGAATCAACAACACAACTTTACAAAGACATATATTCAGAACTTAATTATATGACCAGCTGGATTCTGCTCCAGGTGACATGTTAGGGTACTGTAAATTCTGCTATGAGGTACCACAATTAATTTGATTAATTTAATGAATAAAATAAGGTCGTTTTATCTAATGGGATTGGAACTATGGCTTAGGTTTCCAATTGCTGGTTTGAGGATCTTTCTGATTCGTTACTATATTGCTATCCTTCCACATGTGCAAAATGCTTTTCTATGTAAAATTGGCAATCTACTTATTTTCTTGATTTGACATATGAAAAGAGGCAAAATGGCAGCATCTAATATATTTTTAAAACAAAGTATCAGGGTTGGGGAGATAGCTCAGTTGAATAAGTGCTTGTCTGGCAAGCACAGGGTCCTGAGTTCAATCCCTTGTACTGCAAAAAAAAAAAAACAAAAAAAAAACTACTTCTGTTTTCATAATTATCATGCTTCAGTGTGAACTTGCCATAGGAATGGCATAGTGATTTTCAGCTAATTCTAATTAAGGATTAGAATTTTATATTAATGAAAGGACGTATAAAATCCTTAGTATATTTTCATTATTCTTATGGATAACAAAAGACAAGTATCCTGGGAAAACATTTTTCTCACCTGCAATTCACAAAGGGGATTTTTATAAAATAGGTGAGATATCAAAGTTGTAATTGTGAATGTCATACAGTTATGTCTGCTATGAGGCTTATGTGTGAATGCACTTGATTTACCAACTCCTGTGATTCTGAATGTGAAATAGCTTTCTAAAACCCTCCCCTTTGAATGTCTCCTGACTTTATGCTGCATCTTATTTATACCAACTTTGAAAATACAGAAATTTTTTGGCCAATGCAGTGGTGCATGCCTGCAATGTCACACTTCGAGTAACTGAGGCAGAAGAATCTCAAGTTAGAGTACTGCCTGGACAACATAGTTCTTTTTTTTTTTTTTTTCTCAAAAGAAAAATAAGGATGAGAATGAAGCTAAGTACAAAGGCCCTGGGTTCAATTTCCATTCAGAAATATATATCTGCGGTACTGGGAATCGAACTCAGGGCTTTATGTAGTTGGGCAAATGCTCTGTCATTCACTGTTGCAACTTCAATTCTAAAATATAATTTTTAGATTGAGAAAACAATGCTTAGGTATTGAAAAAAATGAAAATAATACAGAAATACTGAAAACAATCTTGTCACAGCTATACTTTGCTGTGGTGCCTGAGTTGGTTTCATGGAGCTGTGAGTGGTAGTCTCCTAGCCCTGTGCTTGGTTAATTATGCCTCTATTTTCTTGGAATTTTTAATACTTTTTTTTTGTGGAATCGAGGATTGAACTCAGGCCTTTGTGCTTGCCAGAGAAGGGCTTATTCTACTGAACTACCTCCCCATCCCCAGAAATTCTAATAATTTTTGAACACATGGTCATGCATTTTTATTTGGCACCCTATCCCAGTCTCAATCCCCTCTTGTTATGTATTTACTTTTATGTCTTAGATATTTCCAGAAATTTCTGTATACACAAGAATGTTGGTATGCATATATGAGCTTTTACAATGAAAGGATTAGTCTATTCATAGCCTATCCTTACTTTGTCTTATCAATGTTGTAATTGATTTTGTCCTGTTAATCAGTTTCTGTCTTCTTAGCATCCACTTCCTTCTCTTAGACAGTCTCCAAATTGGTACAGTGTAATCTTTCTAATTCTGGCTATGTCAGTGTTTTCCTAAAAGTGGGCAATGCTTTCCTGTTGTGTATAGAATAAATTAACATCTTGGTAAGACTCAGTAGGATCCTCACCAGTGTGCCAGCAAATGTGTTTGCATACACCAGCCTGAAGTAGGTCTCTGGCTAGGAGAGGGCTGGTGCTAAGCTTGGGCTGCTGAAAGTACCTCATGTGAGCACAGGTCTTTGTTCCTAGACTTTGCAGCAGGCTGCTGTTCTTGTAAATGGGTAGGGAAAAGTAACCTTCCCTTGTCACTGTTACTTGGCATTGTTGCCAACAATCAGCTTTGAAATTACTGAAGACAGAGCTGTGGACTTACTGCTCTGTTCTCTCCAGACACGAGACTCCCAGTATGAGAGATGCAGTCTAGGAACCTGTGGGAGACGGTTAGACTTAAATGGACCCTAGAAGCCTTTCTCTGTCACATGAGTGCACAGAAAGAAGGCATCATCTGGGAGCCAGGAAGAGGGCGCGTACCCCTTACTAGGCTGGCACCCTTAGCTCGGGCCCTGTAGCCCAGAGCCACTGTGAGTCAAAGCTGTTCTTCAAGTAACTCTATGATTCTGTTATTATAGCATGTCTATCGAAGAGACAAAGCATTTAACTTTCTGCAAAGTTGATTAATCCATAAAGAGATAGTATTTATTCATTGTGTTACAGGTTAAAAAAAAATAAGCCTGGAAAGCAATGCTTGTCACAACCAAAGCAATGGAATATAGCGATGAATTTAGTATCTACTGATTTTCAGGTTCACAGACTGTGACATCTTCTTGGAATTCTCTCAAATGCTCTAAATCCTGAGCTCACAGTGGTATTCTGAGCTCAGAGACCTTTGTCTGGTGTGACGTACTTGTTTTGTCATCACTCCCAGTGTTGCATATTTGCCATACGGAGGTGAGATGGGATGGATCCCCCAAGTCGGTGGTCACATGCCTGAGTCACAGCACTCACATTTGTGTAGTCGCCAGTGAAGTGCTCACTCTCTCTGAGCTGTAAATTCTTAAGTAGAAAATAGAAGTAATAACATCTACCTCAAAGAGTTGTGATTAAGAATAATCATACTTTTAATTTACACATGTACTCAACAGGTATCGATTGAGAGATTGGTTGGTGGATTAAACCTAGGACCTAGTATATGTTAGGGTTGAGCCTTTCCAGCATCCAGCTACATACTTAACTTTACCAATATTTATTAAGGGATTGCTATATATCAGGAGTTGTGCTCAGCAAAGAGTCAAATAGTAAGTGAATATGGTAAGTCGTTGACTTAGGAATGAGCTGCATTATGGAAGAACTACATAAGGCAGACTTTTCATAATTTGATAAAGTGAACTAATAAAGTACAGCTCTGAACATTTCTAACTTAAATCTTCATAAGCTGGGCACTTACCATGTCCTCATGGGGCTTACAGTCTTGTGGGATTGAAGATCTAAGAAAACTAGGTTCACAGTTCCTTGCATGGAATCAATGCTTAGTAATGTTTCTGGCCCCAAGAAATAATTTTTCTCTTCCTTTTCATCAAGTAACTGATACTGTAGCTTTATCATTAAGTTTATTCTCAATCATGAAAACTGGGGTATATTTATTGAAATCATGAAGAAGACATCTATCTTCTTATCCAGCCCCTTAACTCACTCCATTCTTTAATTGCTAGTAGAAAATGGGGTATCCGTTATACCCAGTGCTTTTTAAAAAAAAAATCATTAATAGAGCTTTATACAAATCAGCTTCCAAAATCAGCCTTACTCATGTGTGAGAGATTACACATACTGGGTAAGGAAATGTCTATCGCATAAAAAGTACTTCGAAAATCTAGAAAGATTACTTACTTGATGTTAACCAAGCGTCTCAGTCTATGGGCCCATTTCACATGTCTGAGACTTCTGCCGGACTCTACCTAGTCAGGCCATGCCTAGCAAGAAGACATGCATGTCCAAGAAATCAGCTTAGGAGCTGCATTAAAGAGAAAGTCAGCCTAATGAGGTCCAGTGAGACCTGCCCAAGAATGTGAAAAAAGGTCAGCAAGTTAGAGTGTAAAAACAATGCCATGCATTTGGTAAGCTCTACGAGTCTTGCATGCAAGAACATTTGATTCCTCGTGCTGAGCTACAGATGTCAGTTTCAACAACAGTGCCGGCTGGAGCTGCCGTTGACAAGGCCAGCTGCTTTGAACTGCCAACTGCGGGCTGACGTGGCAAGATCCCACCAAGTCATGCTGCGAAATTGCATGGAATTGGGTCAGCGCAGGACACAGTTAATATCCTCCATCTGTCAAATACACTGATTTTGAGAAAAATGAACAGTTCAAGGGAGAATTATGGAAGTTCTTCTATCATGACATCTACCTATAATTCAAAAGGACGAGTCACATTCAGTTAGTTTTGCTTTGTAGAGGGAGAGAGCAGAAACTGATCTGGTGAACACAACTGTCTGGCTTTTGGGGCTGCAGGTGGCAATAATTTAAACAGCTTCTTGGACTGGACCCAGAACCTACCTTTCTTCCCCCCAAGCACTGCTGGAGCTGAGGCTTTGTCAGGACACGGTGTTGACAGTTGTTGGGCTGCCAAGTGATTTCTCTCCAGTCGCAGGTCCTGTCGTCGGAACAACTCAGGCAAGGCACAATCCACTGACCTGGAATAGATGGAGGAACTTCCTTTGGTGAAAGGTTCTATTGGTGAAATTATAGTTCGCAAGTAACTTCGAGCATATGGCCTGGAATTAGAGAAATTACAGTGAGAGCTCTCCTAGACTTGTAGAAACACAAGGGACTAATGCATGGCTCCTGGCAACCAAGCAGAAGAGCAACAAACAATGACGTCCTGAAACAACCTAGATCATCCTGGAATTAAGTATGAGATGGGATCCATAAAGCCACGCATTTATATAAAAACCCCTAAGTACTATTCAATCATCTATTTTGAAACAGTACAGAAGCATTTCATTAGGGCCAAGGTATGAAGAGTCTGTTGACCCCAAATATTTATTGATGTTAGGCATGCTTAGATTACCAATCAGAAATAGATATAGTCCCTGCTGACAAACATTTTAAGTATAAGAGAACTGCTTCAGGATTCTGAGAATATATCATTTCAAAGGCTGGTTATTATTCCTTAACTTAACTGATGGTCTTTTGGTGTGAGTCACTTCATCTCGTTCTAGCCATGTCTCCTTGAAGCCTTCCTCTGTGAGCTGTGTTTCGTGCTCTCACAGAATTGGTGCGAGGATGTGTGGAATAGTGTATTTAATGGCCCAGCGAAGTTGTGTTTATCACATTCAGCCTTAGTGACTAGCAGGGCTCAGTTATAAAGGGGAAAAAATGAAATGCTTTACCTTTTGAAGTCTGATTTGTGGTGCTGCTGGGAGAAGTCTGTCGCGTGATAGGAATTTCAGTGGGAATAATTTCAATTCCCAAGGCACGAGTATAATACATTTTACATACATGACTTCAGGGATGTATGAATTGTATAAGTGTTTGTGTTTGAGGAAAGAGTTACAATACTAAAGTATAAAAGATAATATAGGTTTTTGCTTTTACTGACTGACCACCAAAAGGGAAAAATGCAGATATTAAGAGAGAGAAACTGGGGAGGAGAAAAGAAAAGGAAAAGGAGGTGAGGAAGTTATGGATTGTAAGAAAAGGAAGAAATGTGCAATATATCAGGCATGGTGGTGCACACCTATAATGCCAGTACTCAGGAGGCTGAGGCAGGAGGGTCAATGGAAGTTCAAATGCTACAGAAGCAGGTTCAAGGCCAGCCTGCAATGCATAACAAGATCATGTCTCAAAACAAAGAACAAACAAAAATCTCCAAAAAAAAATTGTAAGAGTCATTTTAGGAGGTATACTGTGAACTGAAGCAGAAATATGGAACCAAAATTCAAACATCAGGCCAAGAATATAGCTCAGTAGCACACAAGCCTGCCTGGGTAAGTGCAAGGTCCAGAGTTCAATCCCTGGTACTGTCAAAACAAAACAAAACCCTTCAGAAGTCAGGCAGATATATTTGTTCCTCTCAGCATAAACTCTTTGCTTTGCTTTTAAATTAACAAGGATTTCAGAAAGTTGGCTTATTTAACACCTAACCAATAAGCACTTTCCACACTATTTCAGGAATAGCGCTGTTTTGGTCTTTGAAAAATTGGCCCCAGTAGTTCACGGTACTACTTATTTATACAATCATAAATTTTTGCATTTTTGTATTTGCTAACAATGGTTTTTGTTTATTATGAGTTACAAATACTGTTTGAAATAGTCATCTGTGTAACATCTGCTAGATGGGGTTCCTAACATTTTAAATGACACCAGCTCTTCACTAAATTTGTCAAAAGAGAGAGACATAAATTCTGTGTTATACATTTAAACACTGAATGAATCAAAGCTGTGATTTCTAAGATAAAGTGTGGCATATGTTTTAAGGAATAATGTTCTGGGGAATGAAACTGTTTCTTAAAAGTTATTTTATTCATATTATAGTCTGTGCTTATTTTTATGTCGTTGGTACAGGGTCTCACTGTGCTGCACAGACTCGTAGCGATCCTTCTGTGTTCAGCCTCCCTAGTACAGGGATTATAGGTGTGCACCACCATGCCCAGGCTCAGTGCTGGCTCAGCCTGCCTTGGAGCAGGGCCAATGTGGCCTGTAGTGCTAAGGCTCAAGCTCGGGTCCCTGTGCTTGCCTAAGCAGGCACTTAGTCTGCTGAGTTATCTCGCTGGCCCTTGATGTTAGACATTTAGCAGATTGGTTGATGCAACAGAGGAAAAAGATCAACTCTGATTATAATCATTGGGAAATATAAAATCATACATGCTAGACATGCTTTATAATATTATAAAGTGGCTTTTATAAAGAAGAAAAACACATTATCTATCTATCTATCTATCTATCTATCTATCTATCTTTCTATCTATATTATGTATTTAGTACAGGGTCTGCAGGGTCTCACCACACAGATTGGACTTATAGTGATTCTCTTGTTTTCAGCCTCCCAAGCACTGGGATTACTGGTGCATGCCACCACACTCATTCTTAATTGCCATCTCAGCACACTACAGGGGCGGGGCTGGCACAGCACACTGGGGATCAAACTCCGGTCCCTGCATCTGCCTAAGCAGGCACTGTAATCTGCTGAGCTATCTGGCCATTCCATATCTATATTTTTGATATTAGAAATGTTAAGAGTTGTCATATTTCCTTGCTAAAAACAAGGTATAAAGAAATCTTTTGTTTACATACCATAAAACACAGTCTGAGCTATTTTCCTTAGAGTCAACTGTCATTGAATGAGATTGTATAAGTTTCTTCTTTCTCCAAATCAAAAGAATTACTTTTGGCCACAAGATAGCTCAGCAGACTAAGCACATGCTTAGGCAAGCACAGGGACCAGGGTTTGATCTCTGGCACCACATGCCACGCTGGCCCTATCCCTGGAACACCCTGAGTAGGCCACCTGTAATCCCAGTGCTGGAGAGGCTGAAAACAAGAGGATCACTACAAGTCTGAGCTATGTGGTGAGACTCTGTACCTACTACATTAAAAAAAAATCCCTTTTGTCTTAAGCAACAAATTTAATTCTTAGGTTATATCTTAAATTATTTCCTAAAAGATAGACATCACTTTAAGAATAGAAAAGTTATTAAAAAACAATGTTAGGTAATGTTATTGAAAAAATATTTTGCAATGTGAAAAATGGATCAAATTTTGTTGAAGAAATGTCATATTTTGTTAAATAAGGTTTCTGAACCAGAATGTGTTTGGCTGTGTGAGCTAGAGCTCCTGAATAAACCTCCTTCCAGTGCTGTCTACCGCCCAACCTGTCCTTTCAGCAGGAAGCACTCCTGCTCTTCAGGAAGTCGTCTCAGGCAGCAAACAACGTGCCCCTGCGATGCTGTTCCGACTTCACTCAAAGGAGCTTTGAGTCTCTGAGCCTTTCAGAGTTCTAGCACAGAGCAGTCACCGTGTGGTTGTGTCCTGGCACTCTCACTCTTCCACAGAAGAGAAGACTTTTTGGATCTTCTTTTTTAGTTCAGCAACCATTTTCTACATATATATTGGACCCTGGCAGGTGGAAACACTTCATGCTCTGGAGGAGCATATGAACTAGGAAATCCATGGATATATATATATATATATATATATAGAGAGAGAGAGAGAGAGAGAGAGAGAGAGAGTGAGTGCCCTGACACACAAACACACACATACTATAGTGTGTGTGCAGATGTTTCTCTATGTTTGTTCTAAAACATGAAAATAAAAATGATTAGATAAAAGTTAATTCACATATGTTTTCATCTTTATTAATCTCACTTCTATGGACTGTCATATGCTGGTCTCTCTTCCTGGTCTGAATCATTTCATTTTGGAGACCACACTCAGAGCGGGGGTGGTGTGTGTGTGGAAGAGAGAGAGAGAGAGAGAGAGAGAGAGAGAGAGAGAGAGTGAGAGAGTCAGAGAGAGAGAAAGAGTCTGTAAATAGAATGCAGTGAGGACTTTTGTAGAGTTGGGAGCAGGCTTTCTCTGGGAACACAGGGGAGAGCTCAATGCAGAATCTGCTGAAGAAAGGATGCCTGGAGAAGAAGACAGCCTCAGAAGAGCTAGGCAAACATAAGATGAAGTCCTGTGGGCAGGAGAAGAGTGTGGACAACAACCTGGATTCTCAAAGCTACATAGTAAAAAAAAGGGAGGCAAAGAGGCCAGGAGGAGATGCGCAAGAAAGAACAGGGCTAGAGGTAAAAGGCCTAGAATGCTCAGGCTCAAAACCACAGACTTGATGTGGAAAATCCACCTGAGGGCTTCTCTAAGGCACTGACTGCTGCATAAAGCTCACACAGTGAGGAAACAGAGAATGCTGTGCTGGAGCATCACCTGGAACATCCAGACCCAGAAGCAGCCATGACAGAGCCTGCACATTTAAGGGCAGAACTGGCTGCCACCCTTGAGGAATCCCAGGGACCCATCTTGAACTATTGCTGAAGGACTTTTGACTTGGTATAGCAGGAAGAATAGAATTAAGTTGTTTTATGACTGACGTAAATTGTCATATGAACAAAAAATATTTAATGGAACACATCGGTGGCTCCTTTGTATGTTAGGAGTATGTGTCTCATTTAGCAGAAAGTCACAAATCACACCACCTGACACACCGTAATGGGTAAATCCCTCCCCACTCACTGACTGCAAATAGGCTGTAATTCATTATTTAGAACACATGTTCAGAAGCAGAGGCATGCCCACATCTATTAAATGTGCATGCCAAATTGCAATTTGCCCTGCCCGTTTGGGAAACACATTTCCCCTGTGAGCAATGGTGTGAAGTTCATGGCAAGGGTAGAATAACTCCGGAGTGACTGGACTTTTGAGATAGAGCAAGACACGGTCAGGAGAACTAATCGGTAACCCAGAAGCATGGAGAAGACATGCTCTGTTCTTATTGTCGTTTTACATGTTTAGTTGAGCTTTGACTTAAACCCACTGTCTCTATGGAATGAAGATTGGGGGAAAGAGAAAGGGAGAGTGGAGAGCAGTGCCAACAAAGTGTCAGTGCAGGTCTGCTCAAGGCCTAGGCAAGCTTTCACACCACACGTTGAATTTGATGTCTTAATTTCCCTACCTCTATTTATGCTCAATATATAGGGGCATTAGTAACCGTTCCCAAGGATATTTGAAATGAAACTCTTTAAAACATAGATTTTTACCCTTTACACTTCCTTGGTTCACCACAGATAATTATTTTCCATGTACAATGTACAAATCCAGGTGCCAAGAGAATCAAGGTGTGACATGGTCAAGTTGGTCCCCTTTCCCCCAAGGAGCCAACATCTTCTGACATGAAATACTTCATTACATCTTTAACTATTTAAATAATTAAGGTAATGACTATTGAAGGAAACAGAGTATCATGAAATATGTAAAGATATCAACTAGAAGCTTAGGGAAACATTCTGGCAGATTTAGTATAGAGCTGAGGCCTGTTAGTGCAAAAGGACTACCTAGGCAAACAGGAAGGCCAAGAGGACTTGATCGACGAAAGCATCTCAAATATTAAAACACCTCATTTCCATCTGCTATGTGTGTACAGTTCACAGTAATGAAAAATGTAAGGTCTTTAAATTGTTATGGCTAGCTTTAAATAAATATATGCTTACCTATACTAAACGATTTTTAAAAAGAGAAATGATACCCAATGTGAAAGTCACCTTTTGTGTCCCCAGATGGACAATTCTTTAATTCAGGCTGTGAAATGGCTTCAAGGTAGTCAGAAGAAATAGGCTGTAAGCCACAAGATTCCTCTGGATGAATCAACAAACCACAGTCCTGCATTGAAATAACAGAAATTAGTCGTCATAGTCAACAGCATGACATATGGTAATGAAATCGAAAAACAAGATTTTCTGTGTCAAGTAACTTGCAGAGACGCACTGCAGGCAGAACTGAGGGTGGCGGGAACAGTAAAAGGAGGAGCAGCACAACTGGGTGTGGTTTTGCACATTACATAGACTAAAACTAGTGGGAAGAACCCACTTTGCCAGGAACGCCACCCGTGCACTTCCAATCCAGCCACACCGCGATTGCTGGATCCACGTTTCCCAATGCGAAAATGATGGTGAGTGGAGAGAGAAGAGGAGAAAGGATTTCATTATATGATCCCAAACCCTGCGCTGTGTGCACTAGGTGCCTATTAGGTGCCTCTATCCTTGCTTCCGTCCTTCGATCTTACCTACTTTTCTTCCTTTTTCTCTTCCTTTCATCCTTTCTCTTTCCTTCCTCCCTCCCTCCCTCCCTCCCTCCCTTCATTTCCTCCTTCTGACTTAAAGACCCATTTGTCTCTTTCGGGTCCTACTTTCCAAGACGACAAAAAAAAAAAAGAAGGAACAACGGTCGTGCCAAAAAGGGCCGCGGTCATGTGCAGCCTATTCGCTGCACGAACTGCGCCCGGTGCTACCCAAGGATAAGGCTATTAA